CCCCCCTCAGAGAACGAACTCGCACTTCTTTCAGCCGAAAAGAGGAAAGTTTTGAAAACAAGTTATAAAGCCTACATTTAATTTCCTTGTTGTTATGCTTTTGCCTTATATTTCCTTTCTATGGATACTTTTGTTGCCTTGAAAAAACTCTCATAAAAAGGATAAGAAAGACGACAAAAATCCTCAACTCAAATGGAAAAAAAAAGTTCCCTACTTTGAACAAAAAACCCACCATTATATAGGCTCAATATGTAGGCCTACTTCCTACAAAGAAAAATTTGATAAACTTTTATGATTTAAAAGTCAATATAATCCTTGCTATTCTGTTCTCTTTGAGAAAGCACCCGCCCAAACCTCTCTACGGCTCCACACGACAGCTTTAATTTCAATAATATTAATATTGAAGGTCAAAACCAGATTCGATCTCTACAAAGTAGCCTTGACACCCCACCACCCCCCATAAAACAGTCCTAATCTAAGTTATGATAGCCTAGATTTGTAACACCGCAGAGTAGCCTAAATACTCTGGTGGTAATGCCGCCCAGTGCACAGTCGCGCGCAACAGGATTTCGTCTGCAACTGATGCTGGTAGCCTACTACTAGACTCTAGATCTAGATCTAGATCTGGTACGGTAGCCTATACACGATCTTTTTCTAGTACTGGAACTGGTAGTAAATGGTGGGACTACAGTTACTGGTCCTGGGGACTGGACTTGGATTTGCCCTGCAAATCAACACTGTTGTAGGCCTACTGCAGACTCAAGTAGGAGATTACTCTCTCTAGTTAGGCCTCTATGCATGAGTACGAGTCCCAGGATTTGGGTTTGGTACGTGGATTTTGGGAATACATGTGTCTACTGGATTTGGTCCGGGGATTTGCTGCTTGCTACTCATTTCTGGTAAATTTGCAGGGCCTAGGCCTTGCTTATCTGGAGATCGTAAATTCGTGACGTCATTGAGTCAAATTGTACTTTCGGTTTGGAACACGCCTGGCGGGAGATCGGCTTGGTGTCTCCAAGCCGGACACATTCTGCGTTTGCATAAAAAAGGTATAAATTAGACCGCCGGAAGTGTTGTCCGTGCTGAAATCGAGACGCGAGACTAAGCGTGGGCTGTGACCGGACAGAAACTTAGAGCACCATTATTTCTCCTTGGCGTAAACATAGATCTAGAATCTAGATCTACATTTTTTAAATTTTTCGAGTAAAATACGGTCTTTTAAACTATGATGGATATATTTTGCAATAGACCTAGATCTACTTCTTCCTAATCTCAACTTGTACTTAATGTTTTATTTTGATTGATAATAGTTGATAGAGATGTAGTTCTAAGTGAAGGTCTAGATCTAGATTTCTGACTTTATTTACACACACACAAAATTACAAAGACTAGATCTAGGTTAGAGTTAGGATTGCATTCAAAGATTAGGTTAGAGTTAGGATTGAGTAGGTAATTCAATTTTTTTAAATGTCAGCCCATATTGTGTTTGATAATTAAGTCACTGTCAGGTTGAAGGGGTTGGAATTATATATATATATATATATATATATATATATATATGTTCTTTTACTTTTTAAAAAGTGGCCAACTTTGAGAGCATACCATGAGTAACTTTTGTTTTTCTCTCTGACTTAGTCTTATATGTGGCCAATGTGAGCTTGAATTATTACAATCAATAGTCAATAACTTTTTAGGGTGTCTTGACTTCTTTGTATGTTCATAATGGCGAAAGCATTTCATTAGCAAAAACTTCTCATGATTAAAACTTCCTTCAGTTTCATCAGTATGGCCCACCGTACCACCCTGTTTAGACGGAAATTGAAGGAAGAGGACCCTGACGAGTACAAAGCTTTTCTGGAGAAGAGAAGGAAGGCGGAAAAGGCCAAGCGCGACGAGGAAAAAAGGAAGGAGGAGGCAGGAGAACTGACACATGCTGAAAAAGAAAAACTAGAGCTGAAAAGAGCTGAGAGAAAGTAAGTAACACCTTTGAGCTGACACTCGAGTCTACTTCTCGTTTAGTAACTTTTATTTTCAGAAACAGGTTGTTTTTTTCTCTTTTAGTAACTTTACCATTGACATCCTTTTTTTTATTTTTTCAGCGCTATACAAAAAGAAAAATATCACAGGAAAAAGGCAAAAGCCGAAGCAGCAGCCGCGGGAAAGCGCCTCAATAGAACTAGGGGCCAGCCAGTGACTCCCGCCCCTGGGAAACGTCCAAAGGACATGTCACCTGAAGAATATCAGCGCTATCGGGCAGCTCAAAGGAAGGCCAGTCGCGATTCACAAAGCACCCAGAAAAAAAAGGCACTGAAGTAGGTTTTTATACATGAGCCTCTCCTAAAAGTTTGTCTTTCTGAGTTCCTACTTACTCTTTGTAGATGTATTCAGAGAGAAAAAGAATGGAAATTCAGTTATGTTTGGTGTCAGTGGATCCTGCGAATTCCACTGATAAACAGGGAGACAAGTTAGATAGAATAGGAAAAGTGGGTTGGGTTTTTTTGGAATAAAGAATTATGCTTATTTTTAACAGTATTTTATGCAACTCAAGGGGGCCCCTTTTTATAGAGGGTTTTGTCTCTGATTGTATGAAAAATGAAGAACAAGTTGATTAAAAAAAGGGTTAATTTGTGATGGAAAAGGGAAAGTTAAGGGTTAGTTTAAGACTGGTCCCTTCCTATTTATATGAACTCTAGGCTGAGTACGATGTATTTGAAATTTGACTCCCCGGCCATGCGCCTGTCATGAAGCTAGACTCTTACACGTTCATCCATCCTATTCATGCTCGAAGAGCTTGGAATAATAATTTGCATTACTTTTCCGAAGTTCTGGTATCGCTGATGGCATTACAGCAGGTAAAATCCATTTAAAAAAGCATGGGAAGTGATGCCTTACAATGGCCGGCATTGTTTGTAGATAGAAAGCTATTATAACTATAAGATGCGCTGATTTCCTGATTTCTGGAAGCACAGTGCCAATTTACAGTCATATTTGTGGCACCAGAAGTTCATATATCAAGCTACGGAGTGATGCAGTCTCATATCGAGATTCTGTTTCAGTTACTATCACAATTCTTTTCTCTTGTAGTAATTTTACCATTGGGATTTGTGAACTATTTTATTTTTTCAGTGCTAAACGAAGAAGGGAATACCACATGAAGAAGGCAGTAGCAAAAGCAGCATCCACAGGAAAACGCCTCAAAAGAGCTAGTGGTCAGGCAGTGACTCCCACAATTTTGAAACGTCCAAAGGACATGTCACTTGAAAAATATTGGCGCTCTCAGGCAGCTCAAAGAAAGGCCAGTTATGATTCACAGAACGCCCAGAAAAAAACTGTACTGAAGTAGGTTTTTATGAGCTTTTCCTAAAAGTTCATCTTTCTGAGTTACTCATTACTGTACTCTTTGCAGATGTATTCAGGGAGAAAGAGAATGGAAATAGTCATGTATTTGGTGTCAATAGATCTAGCGAATGCCTCAGATAGATTGGTAGAAAAGTTAGATAGACAGAGAAAGTCAATTTATGTAATAAAGAAAATACTTATTTTTGGCTGTATTTTATTAATCTAAAGGGGGGCACATTTTATAGTCTTTTCTCTCTGATTGTAAGAAAAATGAAGAATGAGAAGATAAAAAATTGTTGATCTGTGAGGGAAAATAGAAAGTTAAAGATTATTTTAAGACTGATCCTGTCCAATTTATACAAACTCTAAGCTGAGTACAATGCGTTTGAAATTTGACTCTCCTGACCTAACGCCCTTTATGAAACTACTAACATGATGTTCATCCGTCCTTTTCATGCCTGAAGGGACAGGAATAAAAATTTGCATTACTTTAGCATTGTTCTAGTATTGCCGATGGCATTATTTCAGCAGGTAAAAGCTATAATCTGTCTTAAAAAAGCATGGGAAATGATGCTTTACGGTGGCCGGCATTGTTTGTCATGAGAAAGCTGTGCTATTACCGTTAGATGCGCCGATTTTTGGAAGCACAATGCCAATTTATGGTAACATTTGTGTTGCACTGGAATTTCATATTTCACCCTGTGGAGTGACGCAGTCTCATGAAGATGCTACTCCCTCTTTTGTCCCTCAAGACGTAAGTATTTCTTTGTCATGAATGATTTACAAAGTTACTTCCGTAAGATTTTGTGTAGTGAAGTTATATCTGGCCTATATTTTATTGTTGTGTCAGCTATCTGTTGTTGATTGTTTGTCCGTTCATTGCGTCTCTGGTAACCATACCCTCAGGTACATGAAACTTTATGACCCCTACTTGAAAGTAATAAACTAAGTTAGGAAAGTTCATGGCGTAGAAGCCAGGGCTTTAGTTGTGGGTTAGTCGTAGCATAGACGTGGGGTAGGTTGGAAGCAGAAACTTTTGTGTGTGCCTTCTCAGTGAATAAAACTACAGTTCTTGAACTCTTGTGTTTGTTTCAATTTAATAAGCATACCCTTATGAACCCACACAAAGACACCACATTTGTATAATTTATGTGCTTGAATTATCATCTACTTAGCTTTTGTGTTTGTTTGATGAGAGAAAGATAGTCATGCACTTTGTTTTTTTGCCATAAATGTGACTTACTGACCTAGTGACTTTAAATTGTGAGAGAACATAGTGGTTTTTCAAGACATGGTCTTTAAGTTGTGAATGTTGTATCCATCTCAGTGCTTTTGTCTTGAAATTTATGCCTTCTCCAATAATGTTCTTGTTTGGTATGTTATCTATATTTCCTATTCTTGTTATAGTCGTGAGAGATGCATTGCTGTGTTTATCGCAAGGTCCAGATTTATAGAAAATTTACATTTCTTCTCCATTTGTTTTTAGAATCTAGGTGTTAGATACTTAGATTGAGAAATAGTCCTTCAGAATAATTTTGATGTTAATTATTGTAGACGTAGATCAACATTTAGGAATTGTGGATTTCATGCTCTTTTAAGATCAAATTTGGGTTTAGTTTGATTTATTTTTGCCTTCTTTGGTCATGCAGATCTTTCTGTTGTTATGAAGAAGTCATGTACTAGTGTAAGCGGAAGAAACAAAAGTACCAGACTTACTGCAGGGAAAGAAAGTGCCGATAATCAATTCAGGGAGAGAGATGTGACTTTTCCCATGGATATTTTTAAGGGCATACAGTTTAGTTTTGTGTTGATTATATGGTTTGTAATTTATTTTTTTTTGCGTGAGAGTTATGTCCATAAGATCATATTTAAGACTTCTCTTTCAGGGTCATTTTTGTTGGGCGTTTTTTTTTCAGAAATAGACAAAAAAAATTTCCAGCCATATTCCCTGTTTGAGTAGTGTTTTCTTTCAAATTGGTGTTAGAAGTTGAGCTCACAAAAATTGAGTGCTGTAAAAATGTCAAAATATTATTCTGTCTTGTTGGTATAAATCTTACAACATAAAAGTCTACTTAGTGAATGTTGTAATCTTGAAAAGTGAACTGTGTGTTTAAATACCACAAAAAAAGACACAATGAATTTGACTGAAATTACAAGAAATTTCCTTTATTTCAAAGTGAAATAAGACATTAATGTTGTGAAAGTTATGTTCATAAGATTGACAAACATTAATGAAATGTGTTTGAAATTTTGATAATGGATGTGAAAAAACATGATATAGTCAAAGCTTGTGAAACTCCATTCTTTTAGGGCTACTGTCTCATTTTGAATTTGTATTCCTCGTTTCTCCCTTTCTGGTTCAGGGGTTCAAGCCTTAGGTCGGTCCAATGTTGTGTCCTTGGGAAAAGCACTTTACATGAATTTCCCACTTGGCTCTTTCCTTTCAGAGACAGACGTTAAACTCGGAGGTCCCACCTCTTAAATAACCTTATAGTTTTGATAGACGTGTTAAAACCATACCATTTCACTATTTCCCCCCCCCCTTTCTGTGCTGACGTTTTAGGAGAGGCTCATATATGCTTCTGTAATCTATGTTAGCCTGTTAGCCAGCAAAGCTCAAACACTTACTAAAAAGCCTATTTTGTTCATGAAACAGCTATGTCCAGAAAAAAGTAGAGGACATCAAACTTGGGCAGCAAGTTCTGAAACCCCCCTCAACCAGTCCCATTATCAGTTCAACTATGAGGTATGTACAGATATCCTCCAACTGGTATCAATTTTGGGGGGTTCTTTTCCATTTAATTTAAATGAATACTTACTGGGATAATAGTTGATTGATCTAGTTCTTGGACCCAGATCTTAGATTATCTGGAGTTGCTTTGTTTACACGATCTAGCTACATTATATAGTACTAGATAAGATTTTAATCTAGACAAGCTGAGGATAGGGTAAATAAGTCAATTTTTCCTCATCAGCTCATGTTGTGCATACTTATGAATACTTACTGTAATAGTTGTTCTCTACTGTACTAATGGTAACATTTTATTTTTCAGTACAATCAAAAAGCGAGAGAACAGCAAGTAACTTTTCACCTAGCTGTGGCCTTCTACAGGGCTAGCAACACAATCGTCTGGGACAGCTTGATTTTCCTCAGCAATGGCATCACCCATGATGATCAAGCTGTCCAGGAGTTCACCAGACGATAGCTGGGGCTGTTGAGACAGAAGCTGACCAAGCTCACCATCAGTCAGCACAAGGTAGTCATTGTCATATTGTCCTTTTAATATTGATTTTCAGTACCAAAAGACATTGCTGGTAAATAAAAAGACCATTTCGTTGTTTGATATATTTCACAGGAAAGAAGTAGCTTCCGTCATCTAACCCTCCTTTTAGTATTGATTTTCCTTACCAAAAGACATTGCTGGTGAATTAAAAAAACAATTTTGATTTATTTCACAAGGAAGAGGCAGCTTCCATGATCTAACAGCTCCTGCCCCGTCAGCCCCTAAGGTGCTACTATGACTCCGAGCACGGAAAGGGGAAGTCGGTTGTAGAGACTGGCATCCTGAGCCAGGCCTTGAAGTGGGCAGTCTATGAAGGAAGAAACTTCTCCTGCATCAAAGACATGGTGGACTGATATTCAAAGAAATATGGCACAGACAGAAGGTGTGTTAATATTGAGATTTAGAAAGAGAATTGAATGATTTGTATATGTGGACAATTTGTAGGCTGAGTCTTTTTGTACTTTTTTGTTTCTTGATATCCAGGCAATACATTCTGGTGCCAGAAATTGACACAGTGGAGCTGATTCCGGGCGTCCAGACACAAAAGTACCATCAGTTCCAGGCCCTGAAGGAGTTTGTGCTGCACAGGAGAAAGTTTGCTTGCTTCTATGCCACCTTTTTTTTTTTTTAACTGTTGTTTATTTTAATAAAATTATGTATGAAAATGGTCTATTGCTGTGTGTCTTGTTTATTTTCACAATATTCATGTGTTTTCATGTGGTCTGTGACAGTTTTCAGGCCATGGGGTCATTTTTTATGTAAATTATACAAATAAAAATCATTGTTGGCTAGTCCAGACCTGAGAGGTCTGCTCCAGCTGTTCTGAAATTTTACTGCTATTGTAGTATTTGTTGACATTTTTCTTGAAAAAAATTACTACTTAAAAGTTAGAAAGAGAGGAAAAAAATGAGGGCACATGTTTTTAGGCTGTTGCCAGTTATGCATCAAAATTTCATATATATTTCCTCAGTGGCAGCAGTAAAATGAGTTCACAAGAGACGGTGCTTGCCGAAATTGATGTACAACCGCAAGGAGATGGGCATTTCTATCTGCAAACAAGGCTAAAAGATGGTGGTAGAGAAGGTTTCACCTTGACTTTAACAGATGGAGCCAGTGTTTGGGATGGGACAAGTAAGTGGTTCTTGTCTCTATGTTGGTGCTCAGACTTATGATACTTTTATTTTTATACCCAGCACACATTGCCCATTTAATAAAAAGGCGAGTCGGTTAATGACAGTTCCCATTCACCAAATATCAAAGTGACTTATTCTTTGCTTCATCAAATTCAACCCAGAAGTCGAACAGAGCCTATTACATTTATTGTGCAAACAAAAGATCTGACTACTCAATGTGCAATAACCTTCTCATTAGCTGTGTTCATCAAATGTATCAGACGAATCAGATGTATGACCTAAAAAAAAACAAGCATGTTTGATTTTTGACCATTTGATCGAATGGTGCTGAAAATCCTTTCTAATTCTATTTTTATGTTCAATTTAAATATAGAATAAAGTTGCTGTTCTTCGGTGATGTGCTTGTTATAAGTGAGATATAGCTGCTCAACAAGAACTGAGCATTGCGTGTCTTGTCAAAGCTCTTTCTAGTTTTTTTTGTCATGTTTTCCTCCCCAGTCTCTGAGGACATGTTAGACCAACTCTGCAAGAAGAGAAAGATGGATTTTAACACATATGTTGATCAGACGAGAGCGGCTTTTACGAGACAGGAAATGGGTGATCTTTGCTTCGAGTATCACTTATCAACTCAAACCCCAGAGACGGCTCAACTGGCATGGAAAAAACATCTTGTTGCTGATGACATAAAGGTGCCCACGCAAATAATATAATTATTGTTGAACTTGTCCAAAACGACCACCCATAGTCGAGGAGAAAAGTAGTCATCCTTGAAAGGTGTTACTATGATTTATGATATAGACTAAGTCAGGAATTGTCTTGTCGTGTGTTGTGTAATGTTTAGCTTTCAACTCAGCAGATGTGAAGAGAATATTCATTGAATTTAAATCAAAGTAGGTCATTGTGATTTCTATATTATTATGAAGAAAATAAAAATTTTAGCATTGTGTTTCAATCTCTGGTATTTGTGTATCCAGTTTTTATGTGATGCCATATCATTTCGAGGGGAGATGACATAGCTTTCAGACAAAAGCCAATTGAGTTGCTTGTCGTCGATTGAATACTTTCACTCAAGGAAAAGGAATATATCAAGGTTGGCTTTGGACTCGTACTGTGGATTTGATCATATATTGACAAAGCTTGCACCAATCCCTATACACATAAATGGATAGTGAAAACCTTGTGTTATTGCCATGAGGTGATGGTTATGTTATTGTAAATTGTTGTTTTTTCTAAGCTTTGAAGTTTGGATGACTCTCGCCAATGCTGCTTTTCATAATCACGGTGCATTCGCGTGATTTCTGTATACAGCCGAAATCTGCGGGTAAGCCAGATTTTCTTTGGTTTAGCAGTGTTTTTGATTTAGAGAGGTTTTTTGGGGGGTTCCCCTCTGTTTTAGGATTAACCTGTCTGATTTAAGCAGACTCTTCTGTATCTATTTTTATTCATTTCTACTAGGATTGTTGCTCTTTTCGAATGAAGTGACCAAATCTGATAGCGGCGTAAAACACCTACTCAAACAAAAACAAAATCAACACAAGGAACAGTTTTCTATTCACTTTCTCTATAAATCCCTTTCTTTGTTTATCTTGTACTTCTAAGAGTGATAACTTGTTTTGTAAAATCGTCAATCTGTCCTGAAATTATTTCACTTACTAGCGTCTGTTGTTTTCTTCAATCTTCCCAGTTTCAACTTGGCAACGTGAAGCTCCATAAGTGCACAGAACCCGTGAAAAAGATTTGCAGCATGATGAGCCAGTGCATCTCCAACAACAGATCTCTCCAAGCAGATATCAAGGCCCTGGAGACGACCAATGAGAGGCTGTCTGCAGAACGCCAGAACGCACTCAAGGTACAAGGGGAAGTCCCAGAAACAACTGTGGCAGTTCTCAAGGGGTGCCGTGTTTTCTGGTTTGCATTTATTTCATAGCCTTAACAAACAAATAAATTTCCTATTTTTTTCGGGGGGGGGCAGGGAACAGGGGGTGTTTCCTGAGGAATTATCATAACTTACAGAGTACCATCTCATGATTTCTAGTGTGTAATTTATCAGTTTGTGGGTTTCATTCTTTTTGACCTTTTTAAACTTGTTTAATTATGGAAATGTGTTCATTTGGGGAGGGTAAAAATGTGCCAAATTGATTTAGAGTACAAGTATTGAAATGCAGTGTTTTTACATAATAGTTCTAAAATCAGAGCTCTGTGCCATTAACGTGAAGAATCTGTTTTTACCGAGGTCAGCTTTATGTGGATACTCTTCCTCCAAGTAGATAAGGTGGTCATACTTCTTCTTTCTGATGTTTGTACCCAATGGGTTGTAGCATGCAGATTGCCACTTACCTTCCATCTTGGAGAGTGTGCGGACTGTTTATGTCTGCCGACCTCTTCTGGGTTGTGCAATATAAGAATTTTGTGAAATGTCTCATTTTTGTCATGGCAAAATTTTTTTTTAATTGGAAAAAAGTGCCATTTCAGATATTTTGTTAAATCTTTGTAAAGTTTATGCCTTTTCTTACAACTTGTGTTTTGGGTATATCACTGGCAAGCTGTTTCATTGTACTCTGCCCAAAATGCAGTGTTTTAATTTGTTATACAGGTTGCATGTACTCAAGATATATTTTGTCGAAATTCGAATTCTGAATTGCAAGAATGAAACAGTATTTCTCTCTCCTGGTAAATGTAGCTTTATGGACTGACATCAGGTGAAAAGCTTGCTGATAATGTGATCAGTGCTTTTTAATGGCCAGAGGAACTGAATTTTTTTATTTGAGCTGAATTTTTTATCGCAGTTTCCATAACTACAGTATTATTTCTTTTATCTTCCTTTCATTTTCTACAGAGGTTGGAAAAATGTGTGACAGCCAAAGAAGAATTAGAACTTGACTTGTATTCTAAGGTAAAGTTTGCTTTAATTGTTCCTTAAATCTGTACTAAAAAATGTTGAGCTTATTGCCTACGTATTGTGGGTATGAGGTAGATTTCACAGTTATCGTTGGTGTTTCTGTTGGGATTATAGGGTTCAAATTGTTGCTTGTTTCCACTGTTTCTTTGAAAGGAAGCAAAAATGTCAGCTTAAGCTGCAGTGTTCTTGAGAGTTAACTGAAATCCAACTTTGTGCTAGTGAATATGTGCACTGCAAAGTCATTCATTTGATGATGTACAATGCGTGTCTTGTTTGAGAGATTTATGGGATGTGAAAGTGGGTGGTTGGTGGGTGCTCTGGTGTGGTTTGCTCTTCCTGTCTCATCAAACATCTGTTGTTCTTGTATCTCTCCTCTTTTTTTTTTTTGCATTGGTTACTCTCTTGTAACACCTCTAATCTTCGGCACTTATTTGACCTAAATTTGTTGCAAGTGCTGTTAAACTCTTACTAAAGAAAAATAAAACGAAACAAGCGATGTTGAACAGAAACTTTTTAAAAAATGGCATTCCATAATGTTTAAATGATTAGTGCTTTTAGATTTTTCGTTTGAAAATTAGGTTTTTTATTGATAAAACTTAATCCTTTTAGGCTCTCTTGTAACTTTGCTTTAACTATACATATATATTTTTTTATTTTTTTTATGCCAGGCACACAACAATTATCCAAACTGTATAAACTACTGCTTGTTTGTTGGTAGAAGAACTCACGTTTAGTACTGGAAATATAACAGAAATTTCAAAGATTTTTACTTGTAAGACAAAATATTTTAAAGATTTGAAGTTTGAATTACTCAGTTTCAGTTGCATTCATATTGTCACCTAAATTGTTTATATCTTTTGCGTGTTGAAACTGTTGCTCCGAAAGTTTTCCTCTTTCATCTTTCCTTTGATCTGGAATAAGCTACAAATTCATACTTCAGATTTCGCTACCTTAGAATTATAAAGTTCTATCTGACGTTTTTGGCCGTTTTTGAGTTTTTAAGACCACGAGGTCAGAGACCAATTTACGTTCTGTCTGCTCTATCCAAATCGTAAGATTATTCGGAGTCCTTATCAAGATATTCAAAGAACTGCCTTAGAAAAAGCTTGACATGTTTAGAAAAAGCTTGACATGTTGTGAAAAACTCAACATTTTTACATCAAATTTCTCTAAACTAAGTAGTGGGCAGATGAAAATTTGTAATTCTAACGTAGCGGTTTGTCCCATATTGATAGAGCATAGGCCAGGGCACTGTACAAGGAGGGAGAAGGAACGGCAGACAGAAAAAGAGATGGGAAGACACTATGACGGAATGGACAGGTTTATAGTTGGGTGAAGTCCTTTGAAAGGCTAAAAATAGAGAAGGATGGAGAAAAGTGGTTGCCCAATCATCTTGGCTCACCAACGGTCATCTAAGACTAAGGGATAAGTATAAGATAGATCATTCAGACACTGAAGAAGACCTGGCAGTCAGCTCCCTTGGTCCATACTTTCCTGTTTTGTGTACATTGCTCAGGCCCTGGCCTGTCCACCCTGGACTCTTACTCTGCCGTGGGTGGTTGGCAGGTGCTCTGGTGCGGTTTGAGCCTACTTTCCTATCAAACTTTTATCGTCGTCCAATTTTCTTCTATTCTTTTCTTTGTATGTTTTCTCTAATAATACCTCTAATTTTTGGCTCTAATATAACCTATTTGTGTTGGAAGTGCTGTAAAATATAACTAATACTCAACTAAAATTTCCTCTTTCTGACTTCTTCTCTATCCTTACACTATGCGGTGTAGGACTGTGTTGTCCCAAAGCCATCTCATATAAATCACGTTATAATTTTTCTACTACCATCTTGACCTCCCTTTTGTATGTCTACAGTTTGTTGCTGTTTTAAACAGCAAAAAGCAAAGAATCCAGCAACTGGTGGAAAATGGTGATGCTGAGTCACTGGATGGTAATTGAAACATTTTTGTCACCTGTTTAATGGTTGGGGGGGGTTTTTTTGGTTGTTTTTTTTTTTTTTTTGCTCTGATTTTCTTTACACATAGACTTTTTATTTGGTATATGTATGTGTGTGTGTGTTGTTGGGGGGGGTATCAGATAAGACTTGCTCTTTGCTGGAATGTTAAACTTCTCTTACTGTTGTTCTCTAATTGATGATGACACCATAGGTACAATGCATAATGATTGTCGAGGTTTGTGCTGCTTCCGTTTAGTTTTTAAAAATTTCTGTTTAAATGTCAATATTTCACAAAGGGTTCTGCTATACAGTGGTGTGGTGTCCAAAAGAAACTGGAAAATGTAATCACCTAATCAACACGTTAAAGCATTGCTCTACGTACTCATCAGCATACCAATTTATAGCTAAGTAAATTCTGCATCATCTAAAAAATTATTTCATCTATGTTAAGAGACGCCCGAGATATGGTCACTCAAAATTGACCTTTAAATACCTTTAAAATCAGGCTTGGCAAATTGTGCAAAATCAAAGAAAAGTAAATTTGTCTTCGCCCATGTATTGAGGAGCATCAATATTGATAAAATGGACATACGTTAGATACCCAATGAATGGAGAATTTTTTTTTATTGCAATGAACAATGTTTTATTTTGATATTTTGTCTCGATAGTTTCAAACAAAACGAAAACAGAGCTATCACAAATGCCACACAAAACCTGGACTTAACATTAAATGGGATCATTGTTATTTTGCCTTGGAGCTATTGGTTTTGTGTAGTGCACGAACCCTTTGGGCATCGACTTGATTCAATTTTGGACATAATTATCCGTCATTTCATCCCAAATGTCACAGAAAGTTGCAAACAAAGGGACTGAATGGGGAGCAAAGTTGCTTCTCTTCAGCTGCTGTTTTATGGTACTTCAACTTCACTCTTCACGCATCTGTAGGATTCATATCGGGGCTATTTATTGGTGACCACTCCAACAGTGATTTGCTTTTGTTTTCCAAGAATTATCTAGTGGCATTGTTGGCCCCTTGAGCAAGTTCTTTGTTATGCACAGAGATGTCTACTTGAATGACACCGTGACGGAAATTTCTCATGAGGGTGGTTTTGTTCATTCCACCCCAGACCACCCAAAACTGACAGTTTCATGGCCTCTGTTCCTCAATGACAGATGATTATGTCCAAAATCTAACTACGAGAGTCCATGTGCAAAAATGGTTTCTTGATCGACACGTAACCATTAAACAAAAACTAAATTAATACTAATGAGCACTTGTTATGTTAAGTCCAGGTTTTGTGTGGCTTTAGTTACAGCTATGTTTTCCAATCTGTTTGAAAATATCACTAGAAGATGCTGTTCATTGCAGAAACAGTAATATTCTCTTTTCATATATGATATTCAACACATGTCCATTTCACCAGTGTTAATGCACTTCAATATATGCACGAACACACTTTTGCATTTCTCTGGTTTAGCACAATTTTGCCAAGCCTGATTTTTTTAGGTCAATTTTGAGTGACCATATCTTGGGTGTCTCTTAACATAGATGATATATTAATGTGTCAGATGATGCAGAATTTATTCAGCTTTAAATTGGTATGCTGCATGAATGGGTAGTGCAAGCCTATAACACGATGATTTGGTGACTACATTTTCTCTTTTTTCACCACTCTATAGAGAGATGACTGTTTAACCCCTGAGAGTGAAGCTCCTTCTTTGATGAATCCACTCACAAAAATCTGTGTAATTTGAAGAGTCAGTTCGACACAGACATTGATGCTCGGTGTAAACAGACATAATTCTTTCATTTCACAAGCTCTATCCTGCAATTGTGACTCAAGGTTTCTGAACGCCTATTCTTTTTTTGACAATTTTCATTGACTGTCCTTTAGGTCAGCCAGATTCTCCTGTTGCAAGCACGTCCAGGGAAGAAATTCCATCCTCTAAACCTGAGACTGTTCCAGCTGTTAAAAATGGAAGCCAGTCGAAACAAAAACGCAGCAGGTGTGGTTGAAATACTTGCTCCTTTGTAATTTCATATTTTTAGGTAGTAATATAAGGTTACCGTCAAAAAGTTCTTTGGATGCACAGTTAGGCCTGAGAACAGCTCCCACAGTGTTGCCATATCTAGGTTAAGAAGAACCAAAAAGGACTATTCAATTTTTTTTTTATTACTGAAGGGAGGTATGTTTGACAATGACATGCTTAATAGACAATACTATAGTACCACAAAGCAACATTGCCAGTTACAGGAAAAAACTATTTTTTGTCTCAGATTGTTAAGTGTAAGGCTCTGCCATATGCCAGTTTGAAAAGTGACGTATGACAGTCTTACACTGAGCAGTCTATATAGCTACTTTTTTATTATTATTGCGGTGTGTGGATAAGGGTAGGGTCATCATTTTAATTTATGTGAACGCTGATAAAATAGGGCATGGATTTGTTATGTGTGAATAACAACAAGTTCACAAAAATGTATCATGTAACCAGTGGTAAGAACCACAGGTGTTTGGGTTTTTTTGTTGTATTAGTGAAATTTTTCTTTTTTGTTTTTCCAATGAAGATTTAATCTGTCCCCATTGTTCTATGCAAGAAAAATTCTGAAATTATTCAAACAGGAGCCCAAATATATGAAATTATGGGATTCTGTTAATTTGAACAAAGAATGATAAAGGAAAATAATCAGAAATTATGCAAAAAATGATCAAATTTTGCTAAATTATGCGGGGTGCATAAAACCACGGGGGCAGTTTAATTAGTAAATCTTGTTCAAACCAAAATTCTGTTTTTCTTTGTAGTGACTCTGAGGACCCAGACACAGATGAAGAGGTGAGAACAATTGCTTGTGAGCTGTCCTGTTGTTCAGCGTAGAATTCTTTATGTCATTTTCCTTATATTCCCTATCTAATAAGAGTACAAAAAAAAAGAAAAAACATTTTTTCCCCTGGGTTTTTTTAAAAACATCTTCGTAGCTTTATGAAATTTAAAGTAGCACAGAGAGCTTTACGACTAATATTTCATTAATCGAATTGAAGAATATTCTCAGAATTTTAATTTATCTTGCAAGGCATAATGTATCTTCCAGTTACTTTTTCGAAGAGTATTAGGGGTCAAATTCACATTCATCCCTCTCCTGTTTACCTTCTTTTCTAACAATGTCCACTCATTTGTTCAACTTACTGTGCACTTAGTAACCTTCTAATGTTCACATTCTCTTGCGCTTGGTAGAAGTGAAAGTGAAGGTTGACTTTTAATGCCAGCTCTGACACACTTTCGTCACTAAAATTGGAATGGTTCTATTCTTCATCATGACCAAGTTTACCTTTAGGAAATTACATAGGCTAAACTTTTGGCATAGAGGTTGAACTCTCAAGTGCTGTATTCTTAATCAGCAGGTTTTATCAAGGTTGAAAAAGAAAGGGTTATTTGAAATTAATAGCACTTTGGGAACATAATGTGTCAAAAGTTAACGAGCAGAAATCGAATGAAATCAAGGTTTCTATATAGGGATACCCTTCAAGATGTGCAAATAACCTGACACATGTCCTCAGATTTTGAGACCCCCAAAGGTTTCTATCTTCTACATTTGGCATTCTTTGCAAGGCTTGTTTTTTTTTTTTAATCACTTCCTTGATTCCAGAAGTGAAATAAGAACTGTGATGGGGGGGTGTCACAATGAGGCTGTAAAAGATTGGAAGTTTTAGATATCATCCACACCTTATCTCTCTCCTCAGGACCACAGGACTAAAAGACAGAAGAGAAGTCCGGTTCCTCCAAAGATAAAAACTGTGGTCTCAGACACCTCACTCAATCTCGGAGATGGCATAGAAGAAGAGGAAGAAAAGATGGCCACTGTTGCACGCAGGTCAGATTTTCTGTTTTCCTCTTTTTGTGACGTTTTGTGACAAAATGTCTAAAGTGATGTTACAGTATTGCGATAAAATTGTTGACAGAACTGGATTGAAAACTGGTCAACATTATTGTCAGTTTGTTACTTTTCTAGGAAAGTCCTGCTCTTGATGCTTTCAACTTTTTGTCCGAAAACAGCAATGTTTCTTGATAAAGTCAAAAACCACATTCTCCCTTGGGACTGTCTTTGTCAGGTATGGGGAAGCGTGTTCAAGTCGCGGGCCAGATTAAGCGATTCCAAATATCTTGTGTGCCAAAGCAGGACTAAATTGGGTGAAATCGGTTGACATATCCAAGCTCTCAAAGGCGAAACTAAAAATTGACGCTATAACATAAACCGCTCAAGGGCATTTCATGATATAAAATATTAGATATAATATTACTTCCAGCTGGGCCACAAACTATTGATTTTTTGCTAATTATTTGTCTGCTCTCACAGTCATTGCTCTTACCTGACAATGATGGACAATTTGCTGCTTTGAAATTATCTCCTTTCACCTTCTCTCTTGCTTTCTAATCATGTTGTCGTCTGCTTTCATCTCAACTCTCTGCCCCCTCCTCTGGGCTCCTGACTCTTTCTGCTGCCTGTCTACTCCTACTCCTTGGTTCCTTCTTACTGCTGTCTTTCAGCCATACCCCTGATCTTAGGTTAGGTAAGATCTAACACCAAGCCTTCTCGGAAAAGGACAGGGAAAAAAACCCAGAGGTCCCGTGTGCAAGTTGTGCATGTTGAAGATCCCTTGGTGGTCCTAAAATCAATGAGAGTAGGCTTCGGCCTTCACCCAGGTAAAATTCAAAATTAATTCCTATCAAACTGAATTGCTTAATGTGTCCAGCACACTCGTAAGATCTTCTGCGGTTGCAAGCACCGTAAAATACTTACCGAAATAAAAAACCCACTCACCATCTTGTTATATTTCATCTATCACCTTCACTTGTCTGTCATCAGGCCCAGAAGACAAGCGCCGAGTAAAAAACAAACCCCAGCCAAGCCCGTGTTACCGCGGGTGTCTTCTGGAAACTCCTCCCAAAGGTAATCTCGGACTGTAGCAACACGTTTTTTTTCTTTGCTGGAGCTCGGGGGGGGGAGGGTCACAAAAGACTTGTTCCATTTCCATTTATTTTATCACTATTGTTCTCAATATTATTATTATTCAAGAATTGTTTTGAAAAGTGAGTTGTCTAATAATTACATTTTTATGTAATTGTTTATAAGATGTGTCCCACGAGATGGGGGGTGGGGGGTCCTTGATTTTTGTACTCTTATGTTCTTTTTCATGTGACAGTCTGTTTTATAAATCTTTATCCATATAACACTGACAGGTGTACAGGGGGGGTTGGAGGGTGCAACTGATAGGTCCTATTTCTTTTCTTTACTTTCTCTCTGTTGTTGCTCTCTGTGTGTCTTTATTTTTCCTTTCATGAAATGGCTGTCATTGTGACAATGTTCTTCTCTTTATTCAAATAAATAAACAGTGTAGATGATCGGGAGGTTTGCAATCGCTGTTAGGAAGCGTTGTGTTATTTCTAAAATTACTAATGTCATAATATCTTACTCAACATGTGGTTGCTCAATTCGTTTGAGGAGAGATTTGAGGTGAATATCTTTCTTTTTCCTCCAGTTATCTATGTAAGTAAGCTGTGACGATAATGAGGAAGTTTACTGTTGTAACAGTCTAGTAGTCCCAAATAACAGCTGAACGAATAAAATTATTTGACAAGATAAAATTATTTTTCTCACTCTTCAAAAAGTGAGTAGGACAAATGTGAAATGCGCTAGACAAATAGGTTAACACGTCTCATACCACACGCATTCTCACAATTCATCCCCGGCAGCCTGTACTCAAGGATTCCCTGTTGGAAGTGATATTTCTAAAAAAAACAATAATGATAAGTGGTAAAGCACATAGAGCCTGCTACAGAGTACAGGTATTCCTATATAAATGCAATTATTATTATTATTATTATTATTATTATTATTATTAATACTATTAATATAAATTATTTTGCAGACCATTCATCTATTTGAAGCAAGGTTTTTACTTCACGCAAATTAATTTTTTGAAAACTTCTGCTTAAAATTTCTTCAGGGTTTATTTTTTCATTCCAATTTTTCCTTCTTTTTGTTTCAGGCCTGGCAGTGCAAGTCGTAAGTCAAGTTTACGCAAAAGTGGTTCTGATAACTCCAATAAGTCCACTGACAACCTTGACCCTGATGACCTCCTAGATAACTTCTAGACACACACTGCCATAATGTCCATTAGCACTTCTTCTTACTGATGTTCACTTGGGTCAATGAGGCAAACCTGTTTTGCCCCTGCAGATATTGATGTGTGAGGTGGGGGGGGGATGATATTTAGTATAAGATAAAGCTTTATTGTCAGCTTTATTGTCGTTGATTTGGTTTTTCACCACGTACCCATGCACAAGCATACACACACGCATGCTCTCACACACACACACACACACACACAGAGACACACGCTTGCATGTAGTCATGATTATGGGGTATGTCTAATGGAATCTACTCTGGTGCATTTTACCTGTGTTGGGCAAAGCAGGGCAGACTATAGAGGCTTTATTTTGTTAGCGTTTCCTTTACAGAAAACAACTGAATTTTTAATTTAACAGTTTACACAATTGTAAATATAGTAGATTTATGAATTATTAAAGTGATGACAAATGATTGCATATATTTCGTATAGACACCTATTTTTTATTGGTTTCCACCCGTGGACATGGTCCATAATCCATCAAAGAATGTGTGTGATGGAATTTTTCTCATTATCTGAATGCCTAAGAATCTGTTTAAAAATAAATATCCACCTAGGAACCCAGTTTGAGTGAGCTCTGGGCTACAGACTTTTCTGAGCTGTTTGGGTGAAGAGAGAGGGGTTGTCGTGGACTAAATAAGCTCATCCATTTTGCATAGCGATGATCATCGAGTTACCTGAGAACAAGACACTGAGTCTAAAAAAGCGCCAATGCTAAATGTCAAGAGGAAAATCTTTTTCTGTCTTCCTTTTTTTATTTTAAAAAAAAAGAAAGAAAATATTAAGTTTTTCTGTACACAGTCGTTCTTTTGAAATGAAAAATGTGTATGCCTGATGTACTGTGAGTTGTTTATGGGCAAATAGGTCTGTGAATGTTATTGAGGAAGGCTCCTGTGAATAAATGAATTAGTGAGAAAATATACTTGTGAATGTGAAGAGGATGAGAAGATGGAGAGTAAATTATGAAATTTAAGTAAAAGAATAATGGTGTGTATGGATGAAGAGAAAAGATGAAAATGGGGTCAATATGAGTCTTGAGAGATGCTACTAATTTATATAAATAGGACCAATCTTATTTTTCACTGTCTGACTTAGCTTTCTTCTGTTAGGAAAAACACATGATCTATCAATGAATTCTTTAATTTGTGTGTGTGCCTGTGAAAACGAAGCAATGTGTTGGCAGAGTAAATTTTGCTTCAGACCTCATTATGTGTGAAGTAGTCATTCAAGAACCAAAACTGCAGTTTTGGCTTGCAGAAACACTATGTGGCTTATTAATGTTTTTAGTTATTACAGTTCAAGCATGCGACACTGTGAAATCTGAAAAAGTGACACTTTGACTTCATTTGTCTGTTTGTGTCTTCATACCTCGTCTACCAGCGTCTGGTCTCATTTAGGAGACCCGAGTTCAATTCCCAAATAGGGAGAATGTTTATTGAATGCCTCTATATTTCTGTATTTCTGTTGGGATGTTGTATCCCTCTCAGCCTGAGTTGGCTCTGACAGGCAGGGTCGGATGCCCACCTAAATGATGATCTAAATTGTGTTGAAGGGGGCAATAAAACACCTACACTTAAAAGATAAAATACCTCATCACATATTTAAATTCGTCATTTCTCTAAAACTACTGGGAATATTTTTAAAATTTTGTGGACAACAAATTCAGTTAGGAGCCACAGGACACAACATCAGACCAAGCTGAGACTCGAACCCCTGAGCCCGCAATCCTAGATTGCGGAGCCCGCAATCCTAGATTGCGGGTTAATTTCCCTAACCACTAGGCTGTATAGAACTACAGCAAGATGCAATAGATACAGTTCGTATGTTTTTTTAACTTTTGTGTCTTTCACCTTTTAACATGGGCAGCTTGTTACCTCAAACCCTGTTCTGTAGATGTATAATTTCTTTAGTGTTTGTTTTTGCTTCTCATTGGTCATTTCATATTTTTCAATGACAATAAATCATATTTATACTTACTTATACATACTTGTTCGGTCTTTTGGTCCCTTGTTCTTTGAACCATATATACAGTATAACACACATAGGTCGAACACAGAAGACTCGAGATCACGCATTCGTCGAACTATGCCTGCGGTCCCGGGTTGTTGTTTTTTCTTCTTTATCTTTGTAAGATATCCCTCGAACTACGGATCCCTCGAACTACCGAGGTCGGTCCCTACGAATTCGAGCCATCCGTGTTAGTGTTATACTGTATTGGAAAGATTGTAACAAATTTGTACATGCATTTTTTTGCTAGTTCCATCATTAGTGTAGGTGTACGATTAGTCTCAATTATGGTGGTTTGTCAGATGGACTCTACCCAATTTGTGTTGGAAAAAGCAGGGTGGACTACAGAGGTGATTTATTTTGTTAGTGTTTCCTTATTAAAAAAAACAATTTGTTGGCCAGCTGTTAAAATGTACGAAGCCCAGAATTTTTAATTTTTTTTTTACATTTTCTTTTCTTTTACATTTTCTTTTATTAAACTGCAGTTTCTTAAACTGTGGTGTATTAATTGCATGTGTTCAAAAATTATTTGGTCGTAATTCAAAGTGTAAAAATTGACAAAAAAGAATTAAAAAATACATGTGTACAATTGTTAAAAGACTGAAGCTGTTTTTTCTCTTTCCTGAAAATGGAAGAATGATATTTTCTGGGCTCAGTACGTTTTAATAGCTTGCGGACAAATTGTAATCTAGTAGTGTCAGGGCCTCGGATTACGGACACTGGGACTGAGTAAACAGAATTTTGTTTTGCACTTAGTCATGGTCAGTCTGAGAATATGGGTCATTGGCGGGTACTCTGAAAATGATTGTTTGCTCCTTCTTTCCTTATCAAATATCTGTCATCATTGTCTCTCCTCCTATGGGTGATTGATGGGTGCTCTGATCTCGTTTGCTACTTCTTTCCTTTCAAATATCTATTGTCCTTAGCTCTCTTCCTTTCTTTTGTGTTTGTTACTTTCTTGTAACACCTCTAATCTTTGGCACTTATATGACATAATTGTGTTGCAAGTGCCGTAAAACTCTTACTAAAATGAGTCTTAGTATGTGTGTAGAGTGGACAGTTGGAAGGTGCTGTGGTGTGGTTTGCTCCTTTCCTATCAAACATCTATCCTCATTATTTTCCCTCCCTCTTTTGTTATCTTCAGCACTTACATGACTTATTGTGTTGCAGATGCCGCGATAGTCGTTCTAAAACTAAAACTAAAGAAATGTACAGCGTTCTCTGGTGAACAAAGTGACTATTCTAGCCCTGTGCACAATATATAGGAAAAAATGGAGTTCTGGATCTGTAGCCTTAAGGCATGGGTAGATCTTTTCAGAAGTCTTTCCTGTTTCGTCATATAGGAGGCTGTTGTCTTTGGAAAAAAACCAAAGTTTCAAGAGGGTGGTTGGCGGGCGTTCTGGTACGGTTTGCTCCTTCTTTTCTATCAATCATCTTTCGTCGTTATCTTTTCTCCCTCTTTTCTTTATATTATTACGTTATTCTCTAGAAACACCTCTGATCTTCAGCACTTAAATGACCTGATTGTGTTGCAAAGGCTGTAAAATTCTTATGAAAACTAATAACCCAAGTTTCATTATTATCAGCAGGCTGAGCATCATGTCTCATTTCTATCGAGCCTGAGAGTCAGTGTCTTTCTCCCCCTCCCCCACCACCCCTTCTCTCCCCCCCACTCATTTGCTTTCTCCTCTTTGTCTGTCTCCCTCCCTCTATCTCTCTTTGTCTGTCTCCCTCCCTCTATCTCTCTTTGTCTGTCTCCCTCCCTCTATCTCTCTTTGTCTGTCTCCCTCCCTCTATCTCTCTTTTTCCTCCTCTTCCTCCCCATCCCCACCCCTTTATTTTTACTTTTGCCTCAGTGTAAATATATATTATGGTAATGTGATTTTGTTAGGTTTTTCCTTTCTCCAAGAGCATTGAGATAAAATCTCTCTCTCTCTCTCTCTCTCTCTCTCTCTCTCTCTCTCTCTCTCTCTCTCTCTCTCTCTCTCTCTCTCTCTCCCTCCCTCTCCCCCCCCCCTATAGTACTGCAAGACCCAAGAGGTCACTAGAGCAAAAACTGTAAGCAAAGACCAAAGAAATGTTTTATAAAGATATGAGCATTCATTTATTGCCACAAAATAGTCATTAACAACCTTTGATATTATTGGAATACAAATCAGTACAAGATAGAGTACAAAGAGTCAGGCATCAGACCAGCCTTTTAGTTAATACATAATAACAAGGTAAATAATAATATTATCCCTCCCTTTCTCATCTGTCACTTTAGAGCTGCAATAAAATCTTTACTTCAACTTCTTTGAGTTGACTTGCGAAGTCAATTATGAATTTCACAAAACCACCTTTGACCTTCATAGTATACAAAGATAAGACACACTCATTTTAAATTTAAAATCAACAAAAAAAAATTGCATCACAGAATGCAAAAACTGACAATATCTTGCATTTTTTATCTCAAAATCAGAAACCTTTTCAACTTGTTGACTGCTCATATTGGAATTATACTAATCTGGCAGGAAAATTATATCCAGGACTGAGTTCAGATTTAGTATCTGAAAAAAGGTTTGCAAACAGACAAAATTCAGCAGTAAATTTTAGCTAATGAAAGACCATGCTTGGTGGTGGAAGTCTGATGTGGCAAGCTGTTCAGCTGTTCTAAGCCCAAAGGCACTTTTTTTACAAGAGAGAAAGAGAAAGATTCTACCTAAATTGTGTACTTTTTCTTGCTATTTTCAAATTTTTGAATTTGAATTTCGCAAAAATATTCCCATCGAACATGCAAACAATACAGCTCTGAGCACAGGATTTTGAGCAAATTTTCCAGGAATTTTGTGGGGTGAAATATTTTACTCGTCAACATGGCCTATGCAAGCTGCAATTCCAGGCTCAGGATGTGTAGTAGGAATATATTTATGTCAAATATAATTGCATGCAGAAGCTAAAAATAAAAGAATAGTGAACGTATGACTTGTCTTTGTTGAATAAAAGAAATAACGGAAGAAGTAATGAAATTCAGGTGAACTATAACAGCGATCTACCGTAGTTGCAGGATTTCTTGACTAACTCTGAGTGTTGTTCAAATTTTAAAGAGTTAAGAAACTAAATAAGGAAAAAAAAGTTCCAAATTTTAGGCTTAGAACATCTGGAACAGCTGGTCAACAATTAATTCAAAACTGAACTTTTTTTAAGCTATTTAAGAATACAAGAGAAAATAGTGCATCAATAATTATTATGTTTAAGTATAAGACAACATTATTGAAGTATGAGGGAGTAAGTAAGATAAGATGACTCATAGGTTATATTAAGTAACAAAAGCAAGCTAAAGCTTTTCCCTTACCCAGGCACAGCGCCTACATCTATTCTTTGGATATATGCGATTATAATAATACCTCGATGAACACACAAATGGTGACATGTCAAAGTCAAAGTTGTGCTAGGACATCCTTTTTTTTTCTAAAGACAGACAGAGCCATCAGTTCTTACAAGCAATTTAAATTTAAGGTCTATGCTAGCCTAATACTAATGGTAAGTTGCTTGCCTCTCATGCCAAAGTACTTGGTTAAATTTCCATTCTATGCAGGACTACTCGCATAACTACTTTGAATTTTCGCTCGTTTCTTACACCCAAAAGTACAGGGCCGGAGGAATCGAATGCTCAGGTCTCTTGAAAAAGGAGGAAAAGTGCCGGGATCATGTGCATTTTTCACACATGACTGGCAAACACTTTCGTTCTTGAAAGTCGAATGAGAGTAAGCCCTGAACAGCCTTCTCAGAAATTCTAAACTAATCCCTACACAGAACTGAAGAGATTCGCCAAAATAATAGATAAAATGTAAAGTTATGTTCTTGTAAGAACGAAGATTAGAAGTGGTAATAGATACTAAACCATGGGTACCAGAGCACCTACCAAACACCCACACAGATAAGAGGACCAAAAAAAAACCCATCACTACCTGAAAAGTGAAGAGCGCAAGGTTGCAATGAGAAGATAGGCCCTACACTTGAAAACCATGAGTACAGAGGGATGGAGAACTGACAGTTCACTACCCCTGAGATGTTAAATTAGTAGATGTGTCTAGCGAGAACAGAACTGACATTTCAATGTTGAATGATGTCACAGCACCGTTTTGACTCTGGCAGTGTCACAAAGTACCCACATCCTCAAAGCAGAAAGATCAAACGCAAAAACAAACTCCAAGAATTATAGTCCAGAATATTATGAACTATTCATACTGTGTATGAACCTCTTAGGCAAAATTGCTTTGACCTATTTGTTAAATCGTACAAGCAAGTGGTCTGAATAGATCTCAGTATTAAAAATATGTTCATATTAATACTACAACTCAACAACATTTTTATATCAATCTCTGAGAAATATAACACCTTGCCCTTGTGATAAGACAGGCTTACCCTATAGGAGTCAATTCTATAATTGTGAGCGTGCCTGGTGAAAAGTACCAAAAGACGCATTAGGTCGAACCGCGATATCAGGCTTCAAAGGTCAAAAATAAAATTTTTGACAAAAACTAAGTTCCATTAAAAATGGATTCTTAAGCCATTAATATATCAATATGT